CAGAATACTCCAAAACACACACATCCTTGTAACGTTCCACTCGAGAGAACAAAAACATAAATATTTACTATGTGACGTCACCTTATTCATGGAACTTGTCAAATGGAAATGTCACTTGGACTTGTCACATCGAATAGTCATGTATTTAAACATTTCAATAAAACTGTAAGACCTTGTTTATTGTTACAGTGAAATGTCTTTTTGAATATATGTTTGAGTGTGTAGTTTAAGTGTTAATACCCGTTAGCTTCGATTCTTTGACCTTTCATACATATCCAAGGTTAGATTTAGAATGGTTGGGTTAATATCCCCCAGGTTTATATGGTAAATATATAACAACACATACTAGCGACATTTATATTGAAAATCACAATGATTATAGAGGCGGTTCTATAGTAAAGGTTTACCAAAGCAAAATAGACCACAGCCGTAAAATAAACTTTTACTTGCTGGCATTGGTAGTTCAATAATGTGTTAACTGTTAGACTTGAAGGGCAAAGCCAGTCACCAAGTAGGTACAGTATGAGTGGTCTTATATTATGCTCTGACATGTCCAGACTCATCATAAAATAAGGTTAAACATGACTTCTTCAGTGGTGTCCGTAAACCTTTAGTGAATCACCATATGGGCGAGACGGTCACCATAACTAGTTCCCACGTCGGAAAGTGTACGTAACGCGTTAAGTGAATTCAGGTCATGTACTGTGAAATATTAATAGGCGAGTTTTATATTTGTAAGATGATGAGATTAAGGAAAGAATGTGGTAAAACAAGACACTCGAGCAGACACACGTGAGACGCACAGGTGTGTTATCATCACACTTAATCAAGAAGCTATAGGTGAGACAGGTTCAGCACAACACACACACTCACTCACCTTGCTTATGAGGTGGAACACAAGAGGCTCAGCAATACCTTGATCTGGCCGTAAAACCTAACCTAACCTAACCTAACCTAACCTAACCTAACCTAATTTCAACTAACCTAATTTAACTAACATAACCTAACATTGCTTCAATTTATCTAATCTAGGCTAACCTAACTTGATCTAACTTAACTTACCCTGATCTAACCTAACGTAACCTTTTCTAATTTAACCTAACTTAAATTAACCTAACCCAACATAACCTAAACCAACCCTCAGACAAAACCCTTAAAAAATATATATAACCCTTTAGAGATCATTGTATAACCTTAGGAAGATTCTATTCAACAGTAAGAAACTCCTTCCCCCCCTAAAGGGTTAAGACCTATCTTGATTAACCTTAAAAAAAAAAAGTTAAAATTAAATAAAAAAAACAGAATCTCTCGTATGCAAATTTAGGTACACATCTTGATCTTGGGCTCAGAAGGTACACACTGAAGGTGGTCGTTGTCTCTGTGAGGTATTAATTAGAGCGGCTGTAAGAAAGACCTCTAGCAACGCCATTAACACACACACACACACACACACACACACACACACACACACACACACACACACACACACCAACATCCCCATCATCACTAGGGGAATTCAATTACATCTCTGGTAAATAGTGTGGAGAGAGGAGGGGAGGGAAGGAGAAGGGGCTAAAGGAGGAGAAACGGAGAGCGGAGGGAAATAGAGAGGAGGTTAAAAGAGGTGAGAGAAAGTGATAGTGATTGAAAATGGTAAGAAAGAGAATGAGATAAATATACATGTAAAAGAAAGGAGAGATTGAGATATATGTAGAGAAAGGGAATAGAGGAAGAAGAGAGGAGAGAGGAGAGATTTCCACCATCGTTTATACTCATGTTAAAATCTTACTGGACAAATAAACTGAAGAAAAATGATTAACCACAAACACACACACACACACACACACACACACACACACACAACACACACACACACACACACACACACACACACACACACACACACACACACACACACACACACACACACACACACACACACCACACCACACTTACACACACACCAACCATCCATCATCACTAAGAATTCAATTACATTTCTGGTAAATAGTGTAGGAGAGAAGAGGAGGGAGGGAGGAGAAGCTAAAGAGAGGGAGAGAGGGAGGAACGGAGGGGAATAGGAGAAGGGAAGTTAGAAAGAGGTGAGAAAGTATAGTGATTGAAAATGAGTAAGAAAGAAGAATGAGAGATAAATATACATGTAAAAAGAAAAGAGGGTGAGATATATAGAAATAGAGGAAGAAAGAAAGGAGAGAGAGAGAGAGAGAGGGAAGGAGATTTCCATCGTTTATACTCATGTAAAAATCTTACTGGACAAATAAACTGAAGAAAAATGACAACCAATTGAACACACACACACACACACACACACACACACACACACACACACACACACACACACACACACACACACACACACACACACACACGATGACTAAAACTGGTCACGCGGTTGACCAATTAGCTGAGGGCCTTCTGCCATCGACAACACACTACTAATTCAGTTCCTGTCAAAGTAACTAATCGCCATACGTGGAGCTGCACCCTAATTTTCGTTCTAAAACAGCCCGGGTTGGTCAAGTTTAGTTAGGTAATGTTGGGAGGATCCTGTTGGCCTTGTTTAGTTAATTAGGTTTGGTTAGGTGAGGTTAAGTTTGTTTTAGTTCGTTTGGATCACGTTTGGTTAGGAGTAGGCTAGGTTTGGGTAGATTAGTGTCCGGTTTGGGATAATTTATGTAATGTTAATTTAGATTAATTCGGGTAAGGTTAGGTTAGGTTCGGTTAGGCTAGGCTTGAGAATTAATGAGAGCATCAGTGAGGCAAAACTCTGCTGGAATATTTAAAACCAAAGACTTGACCTCCCGGGTACACTCCCACCCGAGGCATCACCAACCAATACCTTTAGCTGTCCAGTTGTAAGACCTTGAAATCCTCTCTCACACTCGGCTGCCCAAGGGGTGTAGCAGGGGTCGGTAAGATCACCCTGGCTGAAGGAATCTGGTTAGGGACAGAATCTTTTGAGGCGCACGTCTCATGGGCCCTGTTGTAGGAGAAATTGTGTAGATCAGTTTCCGTATCCCTGCCGGGTGTTTGCGTGGCTCTCTCTCTCTCTCTCTCTCTCGCTCTCTCACAAACACACACACACACACCTACCTCTCTCCTTCATCTCGACACAAACACTCTCTCTAACTTACAAACATCCAAACACGATGTTATTCTTAAGGAAACAAACTCACTTCCCAAGCGTCCTACATCACAAACAAACCAAAATCCGTTTTAAGGTCAAGATAAACACATATTAATGAACAAATTCCCCTTCCAAGATAAGTATACATACATTATCCCTTACTAAAGCCACACAAACAAATGTACACACACACACACACACACACACACACACACAGGCAACACCTCTCTCTTATCCACACACACATCACTAAGAGAGAGAGAGAGAGAGAGAGAGAGAGAGAGAGAGAGAGAGAGAGAGAGAAATGATGTACCATTAAAAAAAACCCTCACACACGCCTCCCTCTCTCTCTCTCAGTCTCCAGCTGGGTGTAGGAGCCTTAGAGGCGTCGGGTGGGAGTGAGATTGATGAACCAAGACTTGTGTGTAAGATAGAAAAAAAACACACACAGCCAGCTCCCTCCTCCTCCTCCTCCTCCACCTCGTCCTCTTCTTCTTCTTCCTCTTCCTCTTTCTCCTCCTCTTTCTCCTTCTCTCCTCCTCCTCCTCCTACTCCTACTCCATTGACCTCCTGGATTAGCGCGACACAACAAGAAGATGATGAATAATGAGAGGTGCAACTCTGTGTGTGTGTGTGTGTGTGTGTGTGTGTCTGTCTGTCTGTCTACGCTAGACTAAGAAAACTACCAATATTTACACCATAGAAATAGATATTAAACAAAATAGTAAGATAATATACGACAAACACAAACACACATAAAGCAAAAAAAAAAACGTACAAAAAAACGGGCCAAAAAAAACGAGCGTAAAATATTGAGGAATGATCGAGGAGAAATTTTTCATGTGGAAATCTCAGTGAGGGTGTCAGTTACTTCCGGCCTGACGACCCTCTCCCTCATTGGTCGGAAATTTGGTTCACGTCGCCAGCCTAAGATTTATGATATACTCGCCATGGTGTGTATATGTCACTCGCCATGGTGTATATGCCACTCGCCATGGGGTATATGTCACTCGCCATGGTGTATATGTCACTCGCCATGGTGTATATGTCACTCGCCGTGGTGTATATGTCACTCGCCTCAGGTCGGTTACTCCTACATGATGATCGGGGTTTTGAGGAGTTGATGTTGGAATGCATGACTTGAGTGTTGCTGAGTCATGCACAGGAAGGTGTTGTGTTCAGAGAAAATTATTATTATTATTATTATTATTATTATTATTATTATTATTATTATTATTATTATTATTATTATTATTATTATTATTATTTAAGCTGTTTGTTGGCAATAGCTTTCAGTACAAAAATTAGAGAAGAAACATGGAGTGAACATAGAAATTAACTATAGATCTGGTAATAATCTCAGTGGTTATAGAGCAGTAGGTTTTGTAAACTGCCTTGGTGTTGATAGTGGCAGCAACAACATCCATCCCACGGTACAGAAGGTTTCACACATATAGGTGCCAAGGATAGTTCTGGTCACTGATTCTTTTCTGCTGGTTAGAAACGTGGGCCTGGTAGGTCTCTCAGCTGACAGAGGATGTTGGAGAGTTATTGTTTCTCATCTGGTGTAGTTTGGGAGTCCTCATTTCTCATCTGGTGCAGTTAGGAGTTCTCATTTCTCATCCAGTGTTGGTGAGAAGCATACGATTGGGACTTGGATGTGTGAGATCCCTATGGGCTGTGACCGCTTGAACCTAACCTAACCTAACTTAACCTAACCAAAACCACGAATATTGGTGTTAAAAAAAAGTTATACCATAGTTCCAATATTAAGTCTGATATTATAGTTTTAACTCCTCACTCACTTATAACTTGTTTAATACATGTTCTCGTCTTCTTCCCTCAGGTCCTACGCGGTCAGTGTGGGCGGGAGTGGGTGGGGCGGCCAACCTACCCTGCAATATGACCTCTCCTTTGCCTGCTGACCCCGCTCTGCTTGTCCTCTGGTACAAGAATGGTATCCTCAAGCCCATATACAGGTCAGTTTTTCTCTCTCTCATGGATAAAATGACCCTGACACCTGGGGATTAATCATTAGTAATAGCCCTTCACCCTAAAAACTCTGAACCCATTGTTGCAAATGTTGTTAACTCAGGCAGGAGGATAATAAGTGATTTCCTTTTAAATTAATTCACGAAAGAGAGAGAGAGAGAGAGAGAGAGAGAGAGAGAGAGAGAGAGAGAGGCATGCAAGTAATTTTGCAAAATAACCGTACATGTACAATATAACTTATATATATTCTGTACAAATATACAAAGATGTGTACTGAATGTATATATTTACATAAGCTATCTTATGCATATGCGGTATTACTCTATTTTATGGAAACGGGGGAAATCTGCATGCCAAACATGTGTGCAGTTTCTGTTTAACTTCTGCGAGTGAAGACAAACTTTTCAATGTCCCTCTTTTTTAGATGGCGTGAAGGGAAAAGTTGTATTCCATTCACTCAAAAAAAAAAAAGTTTGTTTTGGCTGGAGTTTTGTTTTTTCTCTCTCGCCTTGACTAATAACACAACACAACGCAACACAACGGAACGCAACACAACCCAACACAACACAACACAACGCAACAGAACGCAACACAACCCAACACAACCCAACAACACAACATAACACAACACACAACAACCCAACACAACACAACGCAACACAACACAACCCAACACAACACAACCCAACACAACACAACACAACACAACCCAACACAACACAACAGAACGCAACACAACACAACCCAACACAACACAACACAACACACTTTCGTTCTATGGCCCAACATATATATTTTGTTTTTAGTTCTGGACACAAGTGGAGGTTAGGTTATGATGTGAGGGTAGGGTAGGTTAATTTAGGTGAGGCTAGGTTAGGTTAGGGTGAATGAGCTTTCCTTACTATTGGTGCCGGTTGAGGGTTTGACTCCGGGAGGTGAACGAGTCTCTTCTCTTCGCAAACTCCACCATGAGCCTTAAGTAGTTCCGTAATGGTTTATTTGGCCGTAAGATCACTGTACGTCACCGGACTCAAGTAATTCTGGGCGTTTTTAGCTTATCTCTGTGACCATTGAGAGAGAGAGAGAGAGAGAGAGAGATGAAGAGGAATAGTGTGAAAAATGCAAGGAAGATAGATACATAATATGAGAAAAGAAAAGAGAGAGAGAGAGAATGAAAGAGAGAGAAGGGAGATAGTGCATATAGAGAGAAAGATAGAGATAGTGAATAAAAAAAAAGTAAAAGTAAGAAAGCCTGAAAGATAAAAGAAAGAGAATGGGAATGAAAAGGAGAGAGTAAGCAAGTAACATAAAGAATAAAAGAGAGACTAAAAAAGGAAAGAAAGAGAGATAGAGAAAGAGAAATAGAGACAGGCAGAGATTGACACAAATCCCTCTTCCCCCTGCAAACTTGTTATTAACTTAAATTCTGTTTTCTTGTTTGTTGGTCTCCCTCCCATTGTTTGAAGACACAGGTTCGACCCCCCAGTTCTCTTGTCTCCCAACTTTGAGATGAGTTTAAGATCAGACTCCAAAATTAACTCTCCTTCAACAGACGCCTTGAGAGAGCTGTAGGGGTCGGATTTCAAGTTAATAGTAGTAGTAGTAGTGTGGTAGTACCGGTAGTAGTAGTAGTAGTAGTAATAATAGTTGTAGTAGTACTTGTAGTAATGATAATCTCTTCTTAACACTTACTGTACACTACACTAATGAAATATCACATCCAGTAAAAATATATATATATATATTCTTATCGTTTTAATATTATTTAACATTTTTCTTACATCATCTTCTTAGTATTTTTTTTTTAATTTTGACCTTTTTTTCTTTATTTTTTTAATATATATCTTGCGTTTGTCTTCCTTGTGTTGAGATAAAGTTTTAAAGGTTTTTTTGCTTCACATAACGAGGAAGAAAAAGTATATATTTCTGTGTACCAGGAAAGAGCTCGTTGCCTGGGTGTGGGTTTTTTCTCTTTGGTCTGCTGGAGGAAGTGAGTTTTTCTCTGGTCTTTTGGAGGGAGGAATGTTTAGTCTTTTTTGGAGGGAGGTATGTTTAGTCTTTTTTGGAGGGAGGAATGTTTAGTCTTTTTGGAGGGAGGAATGTTTAGTCTTTTTGAAGGGAGGAATGTTTAGTCGTTTTGGAGGGAGGAATGTTTAGTCTTTTTGAAGGGAGGAATGTTTAGTCTTTTTGGAGGGAGGAATGTTTAGTCTTTTTGGAGGGAGGAATGATTAGTCTTTTTGAAGGGAGGAATGTTTAGTCTTTTTGGAGGAAGGAGAGTTTAGTCTTTTTGGAGGAAGGAATGTTTTTTTTTAAGGGAGGAATGTTTAGTCTTTTTATTTATCTATGCTTTTAGTGTTTGTGTGTGTGTGTGTGAGTGTGTGTGGAGGGGCGAGTAATTTATTTCCTTTATTCTTATTGTGGGGCGAGTGTTTGTTTGGTCTCTTGAAGGCAGGAGAGAGAGAGAGAAATGAACACAACACCTGAAAATCTAAAGGTAGAGAGACCAAGCCTTCCCTCCCCTCCTCCCACAAAAAAAAACTAAATTAAACGCAGCTAAACGAGATGAAATGATTAATTGAAAAAACCAACACAGTGACTGAGTGAGCCACCTAACACAATAAAACCTGGCAAATGGGAGGAATTGCGCCATTAGTGAGAAAAAAGAGTCATTATTAATTATTCTAAAATACCCTAAATTAGATATACCAGGCAGGTGAGTGAATGATCAATATTGCTGTGCATACCTGGCCAGGGGGATGACGAACAAGAATGGGGGATGATAATGAAGAGGTGAAGGGTAGGATGATTAAAGCAGAAGAGTATAGTATAGGTCTCACACAACACTTTTCTCCAATTCGATTACCGTCAACGACGTCTATAGTTAATTAAAGGTTTTATTGAATTTGGGATTTTCACATGAAGTGTTGGTGACCGGGTACGAGAAAGTATTTCATCAATGGTATATATATATATATATATATATATATATATATATATATATATATATATATATATATATATATATATATATATATATATATATATATATATATATATATATATATATATATATATACCAGTACTGTACACAGTGATTCACATACCACTACACAATGGTTCACATTCAACTACACAGTGGTCCACATACCACTTCAATGTGGTTCACATACCTCTACACAATGGTTCACATACATTATAACCAAAATATATTAAATACGCCCATAAAGTTATTAAAATGGCTGTTTCATAAATTATTTGTATTTTGAAACTGACTAAAAAATAAAATGGGTATGAAACACGGAATTATTATTATCTGACCTTTAAATATTTCAGCGACTAAATATATATTTCATACTTGTGTAATGGAAAATGTACTGCGTTTGACAATCCGGTTTGGCTGTATATTTTTCTGAGTAAAATCATTTTCATGCAACAATTTTCAGCTGTTGACGTAATTGATTTATTTTCCCTTTCGTATAACTCTTCCTAAGCTTTTTACAGCTTGAGAATGGTCGGATACACACACACACATACACCAAGGACCCAAATCTAGTTAGGTTAAGGTTGATTTTGGCTGGGTTAGGTTAGAAAGTATAATGTTAAATTAGATTAGGTTAAGTAAAATTGCTTTAGAGAATAATTGCTTCTCTTTTGTTCTCTCGGGAAATTTTGGCAAAACAGAAGAAAGAGAAGAGAAATATTTGCTTTCTGTGTGTGTGTGTGTGTGTGCCATCTGTAGTGTAATGGTCAGCATGCTCGCCTCGCAAGCGAGCGGTCCCGGGTTCGATCCCCGTGCAAGTTTCTTTACACCATTTGCCTCTGTCTACCCCGCAGTAATTGAGAATCTGGATGTCAATCGACTTGCGGATCGTGTTCCGGGGTAATGGTTAGCCAGTACAGTTGGCGAGTTGTCCGGTCTTTTCGGACTATTCCCTGACACTGGGTCATGCAGCTCGTAAACTTAGGGTGTGGGTGTTGTGTTGGCGACAGCTTCTACACCTTTTACAAATTCACGCCTAGGTGGCTCTTGGGCCGGCCATCCTCGTTGCACGAGGGGCAACAATTACTATTAATAATAATAATAATAATAATAATAATAATAATACTAATTAACGGTTTATTAGGATAACCTGGCAGCCAGAAGGCTGGAAATATACAATAAACAGAGATGATAAGTTACATATGTTGAAATTGGGGAGTGGGTCACTTGACTGACAAAAGCTTTCAATACAGAAAGATAAGGAACATACAGTAGACAGCGAGCCTTCTTTGACATAAGGATTTTCGACCCCATGGCCTCATGTCACCGTAACCTAGCTCTCGGTGCTGCACACAAGAGGAACGACAATGACAAGAACAGGGCGTAAGGCAGAGAATTCAGAATGTTGATAAAGGCAGCTTCACACCTCTGGTGTTCACAACCTCAAGCAGGATTGGACCAAGTGCAAGATGTTTCTATGCATGACTGGCCGAGGTGTTATCTGAACAGAAACAGCGGCCCAGAAGCAATATTGCAGGTTGGTTAATCTGTCGACTGCACCTTCTTTCTGCTTAGGTCTGCATTGCTTTGCCTCAGGGAAACGAGATCATCGGCCCCAAAGTCGATAACGGTTGCAGATATTGCCCATAAGGCAGCAGTCACTGAATGCCGTATAGATCTGCAGCTCAACTAACTCAACACAGCCAGGGTAGCTACTTATGTATTAGGATTTTTAATTTTAAGGTAATAAAATGGCGGCGAGAGTATGGCTATTAAGGGAGGCTGAAGGGCCGCGTAGTAGTTAGTAGTAGTAGTAGTAGTAGTAGTAGTAGTAGTAGTAGTAGTTTTTGTAGTCGTGTGTGTGTGTGTGTGTGTGTGTGTAGTAATAGTAGTAGTGTGTGTGCGTGTTGTGTGTGTCTAATAATAATAATAATAATAATAATAAACCACTGTTAGCCCCAGAGATAAATCCCTGAGTTTCCAGACCCTGCCGCGTGGAGGCCAGTGGTGAGAGGGTCCTTTTTTTTTTTTTTTTTTTTTTTTTTTTTTTTTTTTTTTTTTTTTTTAGGTGTGTGTGGTGAAGGTGGGTGTGTGGTGAAGGTGGGTGCGTGTGGTGAAGGTGGGTGCGTGTGGGGGGTAATCATTGGGGGAAGCTGTTCACCAGGCTAAGGAGGCTACCTACCCCCTCCTCCACCCGGTCAGCCAGGCCTGTGATGGTTATTTGATTACTTTTCTCAGTTTTTTTAGGGACTGTTATGTGAATTTTGAAAGTTTGAGTAAAGTACCGAATATTTTGGCCCTGAAGACCAATAATCTTTCCGTGTAGGGCCTTAGGGATGTAGATAATTTGGGTTACAGGAGTGTTGTTGACCTGACGCCGCTCCTCTTGGTCAATCAAAGACCGTATGTGGAGGACGGCTTCCTTGACTTTAGTCTTATTTTTCCCTTCGACCACGATGGGCTCATCCTTTGACCCCTTGCGAGGGATACGCACCCGGATGTTGTATTTGTCTTGTATCTCCTTCACGGTGGAGCCTCCTGGGCCAACCACTGCACCAAAGAGGCAGTTAGCTGCCTTAACCGTCTCCGAGACCGTCTCCGAGACCGTCTCCGAGACCCATTGTTCCCTCATACGGGACACCCATGGAGCTACAGGGCGACTCTTCTGGTCGACCTTGGTAACTGTCCGACGATCCCGTCGTTCACCTGAGTTACTTTTGAAACTTGAGGTCATATTTGATTATACCAATAACAGCGTAGGACCAGACCACAAGACTCAGATTTGAGGTGTAAGAAAATAATGTAGTAAGAGGCTGTAATACTGAACCTGTTATAGTGAACATGTAGCGAGTTACAGTGAACCTGTAGTGAACCTGTTATAGTGAACATGTAGCGAGTTACAGTGAACCTGTAGTGAACCTGTTTTAGTGAACATGTAGCGAGTTACAGTGAACCTGTAGTGAACATGTAGCTAGGTACAGTGAACCTGTTATAGTGATCCTATTATAGTGAACTTATTATAGTGAACATGTAGCGAGTTACAGTGAACCTGTTATAGTGAACATGTAGCTAGTTACAGTGAACCTGTTATAGTGAACCTATTATAGTGAACATGTAGTTAGTTACAGTGAATATGAATTTATAGTGAACCTATTATAGTGAACATGTAGTTATAATGAACCTGTTGATATAGTGAACATGTAAAAAGTTACAGTGAACATGTAGTTACAGGGAACCTGTTGTAGTGAACATGTACTGTAAACATAGTGAACCTATTGATGTATTGAACCTGTTATAGTGAATATGTTGCTAGTTGTAGTGAACCTGTTTTACTGAACTTGTAATTATAGTGAAAATGTTAAAGAAGAACCTGTTATAGTGAACAGGTTGATATAGTGAACCTGTTATAGTGAATACATTGATATAGTGAACCTGTTATAGTAAACATGTTGACATAGCTAACTTGTTATAATGAACACATTGATATAGTGAACATTTTGTTATAACGAACATGTAGGGATGTATTGCCGCCTGGGAAGATATTGGAAGCATAATGTGTTGTCTAATGATAGACCCTGCTGCCATATGGCATCACGAATATTGTGACCCAAGTCCCAGGTTGTTGATCTGACTTTCTGCCTCATTTACACACAATTGCAGGGTCTCAATTGTTTCTCTTACTTTGACAACACAACATACATATATTGTTTCTCACTCTTGGTATATTTGTTTTTTTCCTTTTTTATAAGGATTGATTTAAGACACCTGAAAAAAGTGTCAAATCAACCACCTCACCTGGGAGACGATCACTCCACACCGTAAAGCTTGGAGGAGCACCACACGAGATGTCAATACTTATGGTTATCCCGATTGCATACCAAGGAAGATAAGTGCCAGCGCCGGAATGACGCTGCCGCCGCCCTTCCAACACATGTGCTACATCTGTGGACGGTCCTGCCGCTCCCGTATCGGCCACTTGAGCCACCTCAGAGCTTACCAACTCGACTCCGAGTGACAGCAAAGTAGTAGTAGTAAAAGTAGTGTGTGTGTGTGTGTGTGTAACTTCTGCATCTCTTAACTCCGGTTGTTTCTTCTCTATTAACAGTTTCGATGTGCGTAGTGGTCCTGCTAACCACTGGAAGAATCCCTCACATCTCGGTAGTCGTGCCAACTTCCACCCTACCACCGCCTCCCTCACCCTCCAGCGCGTCCAGGCCGACGACCAAGGCACTTACCGCTGCAGGGTCGACTTCAGGGTCAACCCCACCTTGACCTTCACTACCAACCTCACGGTCATTGGTAAGTACTAACCTTCAACCCCTCCTCCTCCTCCTCTTTCTCCTCCTCTTTCTCTTCTCCTGATTCCCTTCCCCCTTGCCTTCACCACCACCAACCTCAGTCACTGGTGAATTACTGCAGTTTGTAACGCATTGAAGTGCCTCACCAGGAAAGGTCTTTAAGCACGTCCAGTAAATCAGCTTTACACTAGACAGCTGCTAAAGATTAAGTGTTTCACTCCAACCTCCTTCCTAATTCTCTTCAAAGAGTGATTTCGAGTGTAGAAACTGACTTAGTCTTCTGTGTTGAAGTACGTTAATACAGATAACCTGAAGATTAGTTCCCCAAGTTATTTCACCGTAAGATTAATCACCCTAACGCTAATCTAACCTAGCCTAGCCTAACCTAATCTAACCTAACCTAGCCTAGCCTAACCTAACCTAACCTAACCTAACCTAGACAGTTAATGAGAAGTTAAATTGGATCACCTGAAGATTAACCTCCTTTTATGCTTTTTTCACCTAATGATTAAACACCCTAGCTCTTCTAAAGGTAGGGTTAAGTTTGGTTAGGTTAGGTTAGTTTAGGTCAGGTTAGGTTAGGTTAGGTTAGTTTAAGTCAGGTTAGCGTGAGACCCGTTAAATCATCCATCTTTAACACTCATTACAAGACTGAACCAGAAAAAAATTATATATATTTTCTTTTTCTTTTTCAATTCTTAAGATATTTAGGTCCAGCGGAATTGATAAAGAATTACTTACAAAAAAAATAATAATAAATTACGTTGATAATGAAAGCCAAAAGATACTGAACACTGAAATATTTAATAAATATATTTGAAGGTCAGGGAGCGAGCCACGCCGATGTTACACACTATGAAGACTACACTGGAAGGGCGTGGCTGTATTAGTGTTTATGTCTCCCAACCTTCTGCAGGCTGGGGGTGGCAGGTAGGTTAGGGACGGTAAGGTAGGCTAGGGACAGTGGGTAGGTAGGTGGTGTCTGGCAGGCTAGGTGGTGTCTGGCAGGCTAGGTGATGTCAGGCAGGCAGGCAAGTTGGGGCAACAGACAGGTTCGTGGTATTCACTTAACATTATGGAGCCTGGGAAAGTTAGAGAGAGAGAAAGCAGACAAGCAAACACACATACACGGATGAAAGGAATGAAGGAAACACACAACAACAATGGTGATACTGTTTAGCATTTAATTATCTCTCTCTCTCTCTCTCTCCTCTCTCTCTCTCTCTCTCTCTCTCTCTCTCTCATACAAGTAATTATAATATTATTTGGAATTCTTCGCATAGTGCAATTTCAGGCTATTTACTCTTGTTCCGTCTATTATTATTATTATTATTATTAGTAGTAGTAGTAGTAGTAGTAGTAGTAGTAGTAGTAGTAGTAGTAGTAGTAGTAGTAGTAGTAGTAGTAGTAGTAGTAGTAGTTGTTGTTGTTGTTGTAGTAATACGAAACTCAAAAACACGATAAAAAATCTAATCTAATTAACCTTCGCTCAGTTACCTGGAAGTGAAAATTAATTATGAGAATATACCAAGTTGGTGAACCAGGGCGGTGTGATCTCGCTCTCTCTCTCTCTCTCTCTCTCTCTCTCTCTCTCTCTCTCTCTCTCTCTCTCAGTCTTTAAACGAAAAGCAAAATCGAACGTCATCAATATTAAATCCAATTCACCTAACCTAACCTAACCTAACCTAACAGAGAGAATAGGCAAATAGATGCTTCCTCTAATTATTTTAGAGTTATCTCATGTCATTGTTTATATGCTACAAGACCTTAGTTGTTGACACACAAATAAAAGTAAACAGGACTTGGGGTTGATTGTAATAGTATTGTTTATTTTTTTAAGTAAGAATTTGTTTCCTTGACTTTGTTTATGTGCGTAAGTTGTTGAAGTACAGTAAGTATAAAACACACACACACACACACACACACACACACACACACACACACACACACACACACACACACTAACCTAACCCCAGGTAGCAATAAGGTGTTTAATCATCAGGTGTAATAATAAGCTCAGGGGGAGGGGGGGGAGGGAGTAAACTTCACATGATCGTAAACTATTTTTGTCTGAAGTTGAGTGATCAGCCACGTCGATTAGAGGAACCAGCTGACCGTTCCAAGCTGCTAAGGTCGTGGTGATGATCCTCGTAGCTAAACCAGTGATTCGTTCCCTTGTTATTTACTTGTGTGTGTGTGTGTGTGTGCGTGCGTGCGTGTGTGTGTGTGTGTCAATAATGTGTGTGTTAGTATCGACTGTCACAAGAGATATATATAACATATTCTACCTAGATTCACCAAATTCTAATACTTGGGTATGACGCCACAGGGTATAAAAATATATATATATATATATATACGTTGCCGTGACATAAAATAATTCATCCGCTGTTACTGTATACCTGTGTGAGCTGTAACCAATTTAATACCGAAGGGGTGTTAGTTAATGAGACCAGCGTGAGGTAGATGGGAGAGTGTTGCCGCAGCCTGAAGTTAAACAACTACACTCAGACCATATAGTTTAGAGTAGAAGACTGGGAGGTGAGGTAGGAAAAGTGTATGGTTTTACGTCCGAACCCCTCCACACCTCCAACTTCCCCAACCCTACACCCCCACTTCCCCAACCCTCCACCCCCAACTTCCCCAACCCTCCACCCCCAACTTCCCTAACCCTCCACCCCCAACTTCCCCAACACTCCACCCCCACCCCAACCCTACACAACCCTCACTTCCCCACGCCTCCACCCCCAACTTCCCCAACCCCTCCACACCTCCAACTTCCCCAACCCTACACCCCCACTTCCCCAACCCTCCACCCCCAACTTCCCCAACCCTCCACCCCCAACTTCCCTAACCCTCCACCCCCAACTTCCCCAACACTCCACCCCCACCCCACATAATCACTTACGCCAGGCGAGAGGTGCTGGCAATGGAGTACGTCTGGCGATCTGACACTAGACAACTACCATATTTGTGATGGATTGGAAGCCACCTCCTCCTCCTACAACTCCTCCTCCTCCTCCTCCTCTTCCTCTTCTTCCTCCTCTTCCTCTTCCTCCTCCTCCTCCTCCACTCCGGAACAACGTCATCCACGAGCCATATCGAGTACCACCCTACCACTCCTACAACACCACGACAACCACAACAAGCTGTGGTAGTACCTCACCTCGACCCTGAACCTCGTAATCACAATAATGCAGTAGCAGCACCTGTCCCTTCCCCTTCCATTATCCTCCCCCTACATCATCCTCCCCCTAGCTATTTTGGGGAACATAACAGTCACACATTTTTATTAAAGATAATGTTCGTGTGTCCCTCCTCCTCCCCCCCTTCCCTCCCTCCTCCCTCCTCCCTCCCCCCCTACTGGAGACCCCCACCCCAACCCGATCATTATATTCATATGAGACGAAGCTGATGTCCTTCCTCCCTCCCCTCCCTCCTTCCCTCCCTCCCTCCGCTACCTGGGTCACATTACATTACAATTAGAGAAGAGCTGTGTAGTCCCCCGAGGCCGCCTGAGGGAGGGACTGAAGAAGAATACCGCAGTTACCTATTTTATGCAGCGTTTTTTTACGTCCTCTGGTGGGGGCAAGGGAGGGGAGGAGGTAATGTTTCAACTTTCTCTGGGGGGAAACGGGAGGATTTTGACTAACGGAAAAAAAATCACGTAGTTTCTGGGGTTATGAGTCAGGGGAGGGAGGACTATGTTCTCTGGGGATGTTTTATGTTTTTTGTTTTTTTTCAGGGAAGGATAAAACCAGGGGGGTTCCTTCTCTCTTTGGGGTTAGTTATCAGGGGAGAGAATTGGAATATTTTGACAGACGAGGAAAAGACTGAAGGGGCTTCATTGTTATCTATGGGGAGGGAGGAATACACAGGACTGTTCTATTCTCTGGGGGTGTTTTTTCAGGGAGGAATAAAGACAACGCTTCCTTCTTTAGGGGATAGTTGTCCTCTTCCTGTCTGGGGACCTTTAATGTCTCCTATATTCTCTGGGGGGAATAGGCGGGTTGTCTGGGGTAAGTTCCGGCGTCCATGTCTTTTAGGGTAGAGTTAAGGGGGCTTAGTGCCATGGTCTGCCTTGTTTAATGAAGACGAAGGGAAGGAATTTGCCGCGGGAAAAATCTCTCTCTCTCTCTCTCTCTCTCTCTCTCTCTCTCTCTCTCTCTCTCCTAAAACATTTTCGACATTCTACTGTAACAACGTCCCACATACAATATTAATCACGTTACCTAAATATAATGTTCTGCCCCAATGCTCCAGGCAGTGAAGGGAGAGGGAGAGAGAGAGAGAGAGAGAGAGAGAGAGAGAGTCAAACTCTCTCACTAGATCTAATTGGAGGATTTATAAAAGAATATGTTGTTATCTCATTTTCTTCTTAATTTCAATTTATGGTTGTCTGTGATTTGAGGTTAAGTTAGGTTAGATTTTTTCTTTCTAATTGTGCGATGCTAATCCCCTGAGTACAGTTCATTAATTAGCTCAGTAAAGAATCTCCTGTTGAGTTTAACAGCTCCTTGAGTACTTAATTTCTTGGGTATGATGACAGGTTCTTATGTACGATAACTTAATTTCTTGTGTACGATAACTGATTTCTTGAGGCTCCGGCATTTTAAACATTGGTATTCACAGTCAGTCATTCAGTCATTGAGTCAGTCAGTCAGTCAATCAGTCAGTCAAGCTTGATATTTCTAGATGTGTGATAATTAAAAAAAAAACACACTAACTCATCTTGAAAGTAGTATTTAACCCTGTGTTCGTCTTACCTCTTCTTCCTCAGTACCCCCGAGCCGTCTGGCGGTGTACACAGAGCTGGGTGTCGAGGCTCGCAACATAGTGGGTCCCTTCACAGAGGGCGACACACTCCGCCTCACCTGCCGCGCTACAGGAGGGTCACCGCCCCCTACCGTGACCTGGTGGGAAGGACCTGCACTCCTGGATATGACCCCTGAGGTAGAGACACTGGATCAGGTCACCAACACCCTCGTAGTGCCATCGCTGACCCGCCGTGACCTACATCGTACACTGACCTGCCAGGCGGCCAACTCCAACCTGACAGCTCCTCTCTCCACTACCGTTACCCTCGACATGAACTGTAAGTAGTTTATTTCTCTGGCAATATGCTCCTACCGCACAGGGAGTTCTCAGTCTGTCAGGAAATGAACTTTAAATCTGAGTCTTTTATGAATGTCTCTTTAATATTTTAGTGTTAATTACTCGTGTATTTACTGTCCTAGAATACGCGCTTATAAAAAAACCTTAGTTGTTGAAGTGTAGTTATACATTATGACGAGCCTCCCAGTTAAAGAAGAGACATACAAACAAACACCATGTAAGTCTTCAGTCATTCAGGACAATAAGTTTATATTAACTGGAAACATTTATTCGAACTTGAAAATTAACAAAGAATTTTCACTTAAAGGTGAATATTGATGAGGAAATATGTAATAGAAACTGAGAGTCATAAACGAAATTATAATCTTATTTGATCTCCGTGCAAGAGCTGCGGTGGTTATGTTGTTCAAGACAGGGTTCATAGTTAACGTACTGAGTAACTGAGCGATAAGGAAGCCAGACCTGCAAGGAGCGGAGGTCAGCTTCAGAAAATTGTTGAGTAATTGAAGCGTTACAGCTCGATCAAGGTAAACGAAGATGCAGCATTGGATCAGAGGCTCAGGAAGCGGGTTCAGATTTTCGCAGAAGGAACCAACGTGAAATGTTTCTTGAAAACGATGTTGAATTTTATTTGAGGATATGAATGTACTAGTGTATTTTGTAATCTTTTTCTGGTTCTAAATTCAGGTTTCCTAGATAAGATAACTGGATTTATATAACTGCGAGAGAAGAACTGTCCAGAATTTTTGGGTGTGCACTGACAGTAGCAACTTGGTATGTTCGAGCATTTTAGGGAGGAGTTTATATTTTCTGGAATAGATTATGACTTAAACCAATGTATTACGCGGTGGAGTGAACGTAAAACAGATAAAGTATTATACGAGAGTGTGGAGGTGATGGTGTCAGCCTCTTGTGACAACAGGCGTCTCACATAACAAGTTTCCAATAGTCTTCTACTTCAGTAGTAAACCTTATGTCATGATTCCCCATCTCTTAGTAATTTCTCTATATGACATCAGTGGTTGAGAAGAGTCGATGGATCATGAACACATCTTGTTTTTATTGAACTTTCTGTATCAGTTGGAAATATTTATAAAATCTTTAACGATTTAATAAAATAATATCGAAGGATGTTTGCTATACAATAGTGTTTACAGCATACACACTCTTTAGTTCACCATGGTATAAAATATTCACAAATTGCCAATTAGTAAGTTAAATGTTACAATAAAAACCTAAAGCCATTTGTATATAGAACATACATGATGTTTCCTCCAGGATGAGCCTAGTGTTGCACCATATATATATATATATATATATATATATATATATATATATATATATATATATATATATATATATATATATATATATATATATATATATATATGTGTGTGTGTGTGTGTGTGTGTGTGTGTGTGTGTGTGTGTGTGTCTGTGTCTGTGTGTGTGTGTGTGTGTCTGTGTGTGTGTGTACTGGCTGGAGGGTAGCTTCTTGAATAACACGGTCATGTCACCGGGTTAGCTAATGACGCGGCGGTGAGAATTCTGGTTCATTGTGACTGACCTCTCCTGGGTCAGGTCTTAATTTCACCTTAATTACGAAGGGTGGGTCATCTTACGAGGGTGTACACACCTGCGCTTCCGGTCACTGCTATTTGTGCTGTTCTTCTCTGGGCTGTAAGCTGTGGTCTGATAAACAACCATTACACCTCCCGCCAAGACCAATGCTTCCATACCTGAGAACTGATGACACACCACAGACAGTGATCGTGGTAAGGTAATATCATGTGCAGTAACTACAATAGCCCCTGAGGCGATAATGCAACTTTGCGTTTTACAAACAACAACCTCATAGATACTGGTATGTATGTTTTTCTACTGGAGTGGTTTGATCTGACAAAACTCACTGTAGATAGATAGATAGACAGATAGATAGATAGATAGACAGATAGATAGATAGATAGATAGATAGATATACATTTAGATATGCGGCCAATCTTAGCATTAATCCCTACATATCCCTAACATTACCCCATTATTCACAATAGTAAAGCTGCTTAATCCTTGTACTAAGTCTCCCTAATCCTAGCGTTTATCCTCCCTATTCGAGCCATTAATGCCCTTCCTAGTCTTATCATTGTCTCCATAATTCTCTCACTCGGGTCAGTGGTCTCTTCAATACACGCCTCGTGATCCCCACTAAAAAGTTTCCTAGTGTTCTCAATAACTTCTTTCTAATCCTAGTAATAAATCCACCAAAAGCCAGATCAACTATCGCCAAATGTGTGATTAATCTTCTTAATACTACACCGGGGTTGGCACTAGCAAGGCGTCTTCTCTGATACAGTATCTCCGAGTCGCTCACTACCACAACTCTTCAGGTTCAGGCGCGGCGCTGAGCACACGGACGCCCGCTCGCCTACATAGTGGCTAATTAACATAATGTATTATGCCATGATCTACTTCCTCCATGTCTTGACTCGTATAATAAGTCCTTTATTAATATTATGGGAATTAATTACGGAATTCCGGTGGTAAGGAGAGTTAACATAAGTCAGGCATTATCAGTAAGGAGGAGACGAGCTGCGGTAAGGTCTACTGCCTCAACACCCGCCACTTTCTCAAGCCAACATTACTGTCATCGTCTGCCATCTCTCACCTGCTCCCTCCAATTACCTGAGGCTCGTGAGTCTTGTCCAGGCTATTGTCCTAACGACCTTCATCCATCTGGATGATTGTAGGTTCATTTGCCATTACTTACAGAGAGTTGATGTAGAGCGCCGGGGCATAATCACCTCCTCCACGCTCGCTATGGATAGTCTTCGATCGTCCTCAAAGTGAAATGGATACCAGAGGCAGTGTTCATATTACTAAATTACAAACTTTGGTGTCATGTTTACGAGTGACGTTATTTTTCTTCAATTCTCAACGGTGTACATCACGCCACTGGTAACATGTAACTTTTACTTGTCTAGTCTGCCTCTGATACCTGACCGCCGCGCCGTCTGGTGGATGACCTAAACACAATAACAGTGTGTGTGTGTGTGTGTGTGTGTGTGTGAGGCTCTGGTGGTGCAACACAATGTTAAGTGTTACACCGCAGCTGTCCACGGTGACAGCTTTCAGATAAGTCAACTCACCACCATCGACTTTGGATAGAACTTCATAAATATTTTCTTATTTTACTTCAGGCAACTTCAAGCTGTTGCGTTAATGATTCATGACTCAACACACAGAAACCAAACAACAGCTGCTGGACAGTGAGGAACAACATCTTACAGAATCATGTTTTATTCTTTGTAGTCTACACAGACGAGGGAAGAATCACTGAGTGTGAAATTAAACTGCGACTCCTTGTAAATCTTCCAAAATAGATCTAGTTTTTATTGTCTTCCTGAAAGAGAGTCTTCTCGACCATTCCCTTGCCTTTCTTTATTGAATGTGACGGTCATCAAACATTATGGTCATAAATCAAGAGTTTTAAACCTTTCTAAATTTTGGTCCTGTCCTTCACCGGCGCTCCACTCCTTTACGCTTCTCCTCTCAAAAATTTTGTCTGCCATGAAAACTCTCGATGAATCTGTTTCCTTCTTTATGATGTCACCTTCTGTTGCCCAGGAAACTTTAATAAATATATTGACTTCACCTTCTGTTGCCCGGGAAAAATAATCAATATCCACTCACAGATTTCTTATAATATGTTTTTATGCTTCAATAACTAAGACTTTTAAGCATGTACATTTAGTTCATAATACCTTAGACATCAACTACCAAAAGTTCCACGTCAATTTGGAGTGCTGGATTCCCCACAGCATGAGATAAAAGAGGGAAGAGATATGTCTCCCTTAATGATATGAATTATTGGTAAACCGCTTGGGTCGTCAGCCACTATGGTAATGTAACACGCGAGTGACATCACTTTCTGCCAGCTTTTGTGTGTACTGTAGTGGAACGAGAAAATGACAGCAGGTATTAAGCCTTCGTTATTGTTGCCTGGGAAATGTTATAATGACGCTATTTATTATTATTATTATTATTATTATTATTATTAGTATTATTATTATTATTATTATTATTATTATTATTATTGTTATTATTATTATTGCTGTTGTTATTGTTGTTATTATCCTTGTTCTTGTTTTTATTAGTTTATTATTATTACTACTCTCGTCTCAACAGTTCCTCCACTCTGGGTTCGTCTGTTAAGCAGCCGTGACCCTCTGAGTGCTGGGAGAACCTACGAGGTGGTGTGCCAGGCTGCCGGTGCCAGGCCTCCAGCGGTCATTGGGTGGCACCTCGGCAACACTAGGCTTACCACTCACACTGATAAGGTGAGTAGTTGCTTTGTCACACTACCACTATAGGTCACACTACCCACCACATTAACCTTCCCCCACTAATAAGATAAATTACCTGCCCACACAACCACCAGGTGAAGCTACCATAAGGTCAGAGGTCAACACAACCTTACCTGGATGGTAGTGGATGATTGAATTAATTATTTCCTGATTTATTGTTCCCCTGATTAGCACAACTCAGAGGCTGTTGATTGAATGTCTTGATTCGGTTAATTTAATACATTAATGCTTCACTAATTAACAAAGTGAAAACGTTATTGATTGGTGAATTCACTTGGGGGTCTAACGGCCGGTGATTGAATATATAACGAGGTAATTGAGGAAAAGATTGTAATTAAATGTCTAGGGTTTTATTTTTATACGTGTATTGAATAGTTAAAATATAGCTCCAGTTTACTTTATCAACTTTGCTGATAAACTGATAACTTATTAATTTTACTTGTGATTGAACACCTTAGCGCTACTACCTTGGGGGTTAGGTTAGGTTGTATTATGCAAGATTAAATTAGGTTTGATTAAGTTAGCGTTAGTTTAGATTAAGTTTGGTTAGATTAGTGTTAATTTAACTTTAGTAAGATTAGGTTATAGTATGCTTGGTTAGGTTAGCGTTAGTTTAGATTAAGTTAGGTTAGGTTGTGTTATGCTAGGTTAGGTTAGTGTTAGGTTGGTTAATCTTCAGCTGAAATGAACTAAGGAGGGCTAATCTTCAGGTAATTCTGTGTGTGTGTGTCATTAATTCTCACAGAGTAATGACCTTATTTCTCTTCCCTCGCTTGTGTTCGTGTGTCAGCTGAGCCACGAGGGTAATGTGACCAAGAGTGAGCTGCTCCTGACTCCTGAAGTGGGAGACGGACGGAAAGTGTTGTCCTGCCTGGCTGAGTCCCCGGCCCTCACCTTACACCCGCTGGTCGACGAGTGGCTCCTTGATGTTTACTGTGAGTACCTCTCTCTCTCTCTCTCTCTCTCTCTCTCTCTCTCTCTCTCTCTCTCCAAATTGATCAGCTCTTGTTAATATTCAATGAAATGCAATTACAATTAATTTATGTGTAATTCAATTAATTGCAGCTAATATGAATTCTGCCTAATGGAAGTATTCAATAAAAACCTTTAATAATTTTCCGTACTGTTTTTTTTTCTAAGGGGTTAATACGTGGTTAGGTTAGTTTAGGTTTATCCTATCTTGAAAGTCTATCTATAAAATGCAAAATATGTAATTACACGCAAATTTTCCTTGCCACAACTTTTCGAAACTGTATCAAACACAAATGAGATACCACAGAGGTCTTCCACGGCTAGGCGAGAAGGTTCGGAGACTCGTTTTAGCAGTTCAGGGACTCGTTCCAGAAGTTGGGAGACTTGTTCTGTCAGTTCAAAGAGTAGTTCCAGATGTTCAGTGACTTGTTCCAGAAGTTCAGTGACTCGTTCCTACAATTTGGAGATTTGTTTAACTAGTCCGTAGATTCGAGCCACCGGTTCAAGGACCCGTTTCAGAACTTCGGAAACTCGTAGCAACACTTCGTAGACTCGTTACAGCGGTTCAAAAATTCGTTTCAGTAGTTAAGGATTCCCCGGGCATGTAAAGGGACTTTTGTTCATAAAGGTGCACGACATTGTGGCTCCTGACGCCAGAAAAACAGAGAAAAGCTCATTTTAAGAGCGGGAGAAAGTTACGACCAAAAGTTATGTCATAATGAACCGTCCACGCAGCCTCCCCGCTGACTCCCCAGGGATGGGGCCAAATGCTTGCTGTGTTATGTGTAGAAGTAACGGTTCTGCATCATATATGTTGGTGGTTATGTGTAGAAGTAACGGTTCTGCATCATATGTGTTGGTGGTTATGGGTAGAAGTAACGGTTCTGCATCATATGTGTTGGTGGTTATGTGTAGAAGTAACGGTTCTGCATCATATGTGTTGGTGGTTATGTGTAGAAGTAACGGTTCTGCATCATATGTGTTGGTGGTTATGTGTAGAAGTAACGGTTCTGCATCATATGTGTTGGTGGTTATGTGTAGAAGTAACGGTTCTGCATCATATGTGTTGGTGGTTATGTGTAGAAGTAACGGTTCTTCATCATATGTGTTGTTGGTTGTGTGTGATAATTCGCATCATACATGCAGATTTAATTCTCGTGTGGTTCTTTGCATATTTTTTTTATTGTGTGTGTATGCATCATATGTGCTGGTTTAATTAGTATGTGTTTATTTGCATATGTGCTGATTTTATTATCCATGCATCTTGTGTGCTATTTTTTCGTGATACTTTTTATCATATGTGCTGGTTTCAATTCATAGTGTGTTGTAAAATGAAATGCATCTGTCTGTTTGCTTAGTCGGTTGTGTCTGTTTACATCACGTTGTATCTCGTTATTTACACCTCATGCAGAACGTTCGCACAGATGTTAAAATATGCGTTATCACTTTGGCTCAACACAGCACCACCTCTTATATAACAAATTCCCTTCATAACACACTATTATCTGTGCAAACTTTCCCTCCATTCAGCCAAGCGTCGTAAATCGGCTACTTTAAAATACTGCCACATATTGTCTGCCCCAAATTTTTAAAACAATGACCATATATCTCCAGCTTATCAGAGTGGAGAACTGATACGGTCAAGAGGAATTATGATTGGCTGGAGAGAAATGACAAGATTTTTTTAAGGAGTTTTAATTGGCTAAATAGAATCACAACAAGATCGTGAAGATTTGTATATGGATACCACGAAATATTATTAAAACGTTTGGATAGCGTCATGGCGAACTGTAATTGGAGGAAAAAAAACAACAAATTTTCTTATATGATCATTGATAAGGTAAATACCATTCATAGATAAATAAAACAGTAGTTATTTAGATAGGAATGGTTTGATCATGAAGGAACTGTAAAGTGGATACGGAGAATTTCGTGAGTTAGGGAATTATTTCGATTCATATAAAGAGGATTGGGAATGTTATCGAGAAATCTAATCACAGTTAATAAAGAAAATAGATAACAGTTTGTAATAGAGGAGTGCTTGGGTGGAACCGTTTAACAGTGCCGTTTAAACTAGTTGGATAAGCTGTTTAGTCGGGTCGCTTATGCCCGCTAAAGTTGATCTCATTCGTGCCGTTTAAGCGCACAACTGCCTTAGGAAGTGTTTACCTGTGCCGTTTACACTCATTACAATATCTTACCTGTACCGTCTACACCCACTACAATAACTTAATGTACTGTCTGTCTTACCTGCACCGTCTACACTCACTAATATAACTTACCTGTACCGTTCTACTCTCTCTCTCTCTCTCTCTCTCTCTCTCTCTCCCAGATGTACCTGTAGCCACCCTCCACCCTGGTCGATCTCTCAACCTCAGCAACATTGAGGAGGGAGATGACGTTTATTTCGAGTGCTCTATTAAAGCCAATCCATGGGTGTACAAGATAGTCTGGCTACATGAGGTAAGTTATCTTAGTTATGTAAGTTATCTGAGGTATATAAGATAATGTTACTAAATTATATAAGTTATCTTTATCCCACTCAGAATTTCGATCTTACGCTTAAAATATTATCATTGTCCATTCTGTTTTCAATTTGTTATCCCAATTTTTGTTGTGCTGGATATTAATTCCCTCCTCACCACGAAAATTATCCTTATTATAACCAAAAATACATAGAAAACATCCTTTATAAACTAATTTAATATTCTTCCTCAATATAAAGCTTTAAAAAAAAAATTCTTAACCTCGTCCATTTACTAAGTTATGTGAATTAGGGAGTAATTATTAACCTTCAATATTAATTTGTAAACGTATATAAACACACAACAGCTTTCATTACCTAGATATTATACACCTCACAATATACATTACATGATTCACGTCAGACACCCAAATTTGAGTCAACTTTTTCCCTAATTATTATTTTCCATTACCAAATTATCTAGCAATTAAATTACGGAGTTTAGATGTTAATATACTGTATATATGTGTACAGGATTAGTTGTTTAGTGTTTTAATCATTTATATAAAAAAAAAATACTGAGTTGCGTAAAAATGATTATGATGATATTTAATACACCCTGATATGATGCATTACACCCTGGCATGATATGCTACACCCTGATATGATGCACTACACCTTGGCATGATATACTATGCCCTGATATGATGCATTACACCCTGGCATGATATGCTACACCCTGATATGATGCACTACACCTTGGCATGATATACTATGCCCTGATATGATGCATTACACCCTGGCATGATATATTACACCCTGATATGATGCATTACACCCTGGCATGATATACTATGCCCTGATATGATGCATTACACCCTGGCATGATATACTATGCCCTGATATGATGCATTACACCCTGGCATGATATATTATGCCCTGATATGATGCATTACACCCTGGCATGATATACTATGTCCTGATATGATGCATTACACCCTGGCATGATATATTACACCCTGATATGATGCACTACACCCTGGCATGATATACTACACCCTGGCATGATATACTACACCCTGACATGATACCCTACACCTTGGAATATCATCCTACATCTTGACATGGAACACTATACCCTAGCTAGCATGATACACTACACCCTGGCATATCATCTTACACTCTGGCATGACAAATTACACCCAGACAAGACACACTACACCTCGGCAAGACCCACAACACCCCGGCAAGACCCACAACACCCCGACAAGACACACTACGCCCCGGCAAGACACGCTACACCCCGACAAGACCCACAACACCCCGACAAGACACACTACGCCCCGGCAAGACACGCTACACCCCGACAAGACCCACAACACCCCGACAAGACCCACAACACCCCGGCAAGACCCCCACTAACCCAGCCTCCGGTACACCCACAGGGGACTGAGCTTCAACACAACGTTACAGCAGGCGTAATCATCAGTAATCAGAGCCTCGTGCTGCAGCGTGTGGCCAGGACAGCCTCAGGCAACTACTACTGCGTCGCCTCCAACATCGAGGGTGACGGCCAGTCCAACCCCATACGACTCAAAGTGAAGTGTGAGTTGAAGTTTGTCTGTTTGTTCAAGTTTTCTATGATTTCAAGGACGATTATTAGTATTGTGACGATTATAAGTAACTGAAGTTGTCTATGATTTCAAGGCAATTATCGGTAGTTGAAACTGTCTAACCTTGTTCACGGTCATTTATAAGTATACATTTTCTTCCCCGGGATAAGCTTGAACATAAACACTTTTTTATTCATATTTCCAGGTTATACAATGTAAACAAAAACTTCCCCAACTCGGATTAAACGAGAATTGCAAATATTTTCTTGTAGCTTTTTTTTTTGTTCTTAATTTAAAAAGTAGTTAAAACTTTCTCTAATGTCAATTATGTAAATTAAAAAAAAAGTTATTGATCTTATAAAAATAAAAATTCCTTTGTTGTGAGGGAACGTGTCTCTAACCTGCATGAGAATCTTTACAAGTCTTCCACCAACTCTCAAAGAAGAATTTCACATAGTTTCCCATTACATAAAGAGGAGTTAATTATTCACCTTCCTATTACACGTAACAAGAGTTAATTAGACCTGAGGTACTAAGCACGAGGTTATAATCACTACTGACGAGATAAACAAAAACACAAACTCATTTATTTGTTCACCAATCTATATATTCACTTAGATCACATGAAGATTAGACACCCCAATTTATTTCACCCGAAGATCAACCGTTTTAACGTTACCTTGGATGTTAAGTTAAAGTAGGTTGGGTTAAGGTAGGTTAAGTTAGAGTAAGGTAGGTTAAGGGAGGTTAGATTAGGGTAGGTTAAGTTAAATTAGGTTAGCTTCGTATAGTTTATCACCAGGTGTAATAAGCTGGGGTGATTAATGTTCAGGTGATCACAATAATTTATCACCTGCACACCCACTTACATAAATCTCATTAATTAATACCTGAGTAAACATGACTATGATAAACACATAGAGGGAGAGAGAGAACTGTACACACACACACACACAGACACACACACACGCACACACACGCACACGGAAGTAGGTGTATAACAAACTGGGCCACTTTCCGTAATTACGTTCATGGTAACATTCCTTTAGTGGAGGAATTCCTATGCACAGCTGCCTGGCTACACGGTCATGAAGAAAGATTACTCTACATGTATATACAACGAGCATAAACATAAAGTTATCCATTCATTAATCTATTCATTAAGTTATCCATTTATGTATTTATTCACTTGTTTATCTATTTTCTTATGTGTTTATTTATTTATCATTGTATGTCTGTTTCTCGCTACTGTCACATTCACTGGACGTTGACGATCAAACAATAGCGTCAAACTTTTATGCTTAGCTGTTTTTATTATTGAGAAAATAGCTCTCTCTCATCCTACACGTTAAAATATGTTTATATCATCATTAAGTAATTTCCAGCCCATCTACATATTTCTCCCTTGAATATTAACTCATGAAATTCAGTGTACAGTATGTGGTGATGGGGCGTAGCTGTGCACCTCCCCCCTCCTGCCCGCCTCTCCCCGCCTCTCCCCTCCACTCACTTACCAAGCCTCTGGGAATGGTGCTCTGTGATTAGAAGAATGCGCAAAATGGCACTCTTGACATCCATTGGTAGAACTGCGCATGGTGGAACTGGGATTATAGAGTGCTTGAAACTGCGCATGGTGGAACTGGGATTATAGAGTGCTTGATATGGCGCCTTGATTATAGAGTTGCACACGATGGCACTGTGATGATGGTGTAATTTGACGCCATCATAGAGATTTGCAGTAAGGGGAGTTGCAGTTATGGGGCTTCGTTTTACCTGAAAAGAGAGAATATTCTTTTTTTTTTTTTCTTGAGTGGGGAGGGGAGGGGAGAGGGAAGTTTTCTGGTGAAGGAAGATGACCTATAATAGACGGTGTGCTTAATAACTCAGGCCGCTGGAGCGTTTAAAACTTGAGACTCTGGGAAGTAAACATTGGGTCACACAACACTGATGACAGGTGTGGCTGGGACTAACCTTACACTCTATCGTTTTCCTCTTCCCAAACATTCTGTAGTTGGGTCTCTCTCTCTCTCTCTCTCTCTCTCTCTCTCTCTCTCTCTCTCTCTCTCTCTCTCTCTCTCTCTCTCTCTCTCTCTCTCTCTCTCTCTCTCTCTCTCTCTCTCTCTCTCTCTCTCTCTCTCTCTCTCTCTCTCTCTCTCTCACCTCTCCTCTTCTCCTCCACAGATGCACCTGTATGTCGTAATCCCCAAATGGCTTACCACGGAGCCGCCAGGTTCGAACAGGTAAACATTCCTTGCTACCTGGACGCCCACCCAAAGCCTGTGTCCTTCCGCTGGACATTCAACAACAGTGGCGAGAGTGTTGATATCCCCCAGGTGAGTGAGTCTCTCTCTCTCTCTCTCTCTCTCTCTCTCTCTCTCTCTCTCTCTCTCTCTATCTCTCTCTCTCTCTCTCCGTCTATCATTCAGTGTCTCTATCTCTAAATCAGTGTCTCCCTGTCTCTCAATCAGTGTATATATCTCAATTTCCTAATCAAAGTCTCTCTTCGTCTCTCAGTCAATTATCTCCCTATCTCTCAATCAATGTATAGTACTGGTGTATTATCTCTTTATCTCCTTACCATTATCTCTTTCTATCTCACAGGAACACATCCACGTGGACTCCACTGGGTCTACCGTCAGCTACACCCCGAACACAGAGCTTGACTATGGCACTCTGCTCTGCTGGGGCACCAATGTAGTCGGACTCCAGCGGCGCCCCTGTGTGTTCCACGTCTTCCCCGCCGGTAAGTGAGAGAGAGAGAGAGTGAGAGAGAGAGAGAGAGAGAGAGAGAGATACTCGCTAATCTCTCTGGAACCTAGAATACCCGAAACCGAACCAAATCTGACCTTATCGAAAACTAACCTAACCAAAACCTCATCTAACCTAATCTAATAAAGATCTGACCTAACCTAAGCTAATCTTAACCTAGCCTAATCAACATCTGTCCTAACCTTACCTAATCTAACCTATCCTAACCAAAATCTAACCTAAATGAACCAAAACACATACACTTTCTAATCAAATTATTTAATCAGTATACCTTCAAGTTAGATCGCCTAATCAGATCACTTAATGGGTACACCTTCTATTCATTACACCTAATACACACCCTTCCTGATTAATATACTTCCTCATTAATAAACCCATCTAATTATGACACCTAATCAATACACCTTCTCAATCAGTTACACCTAATAAAAACACCTTCTATTCTGTACACCTGATACATTTACAAATATGTACTATACTTCCCTTGAATCGATACACCTTCGAATGGTACACACACCCTCTGATGAACACAACCCTTTAAAGTACACACATCTAATATTTACACACACAGACATACCCTCTGATGTACACACTTAATGTATACACCTTCTAATGTACACATGCACGACCTCTCGAAACGAAGAATATCATACCATCCTTCCATCAGCGATATAAAGTTTAAACACAATGTTCCTCGCCATTGATTTAGTTAAAGGTGCCGATTCCTCCCTCCACACACACACACACACACACACACACACACACACACACATGGTAGGTTAGGATAGCTTATGTTATTGTTACAGTGGCTTATCTTCAGGTGAAATAAGTTGCTGGTTAATCTTGAGATGATCCACAAGTAGTCTTCACTCCTTTACCATTGGGCCCAGCTGATAGGAAATTTGATACGTTTGTAGGTTGTTCTAGTATTTAATTATTATTATTATTTTAGGGAGGGAACTCTTAAGGATTCTGTCAATGGAGTGAAAGATAAAACAAAATGTATTCTTAGGTGCTGCTCTCTCTTGTTTTGACCAATTTATTTCAAAGTTGATACAAACACATCTTGTTATTGCCCTCACATAATGTTCTTTAATAATAATAATAATAATAATAATAATAACAATAAAAGTGAGAATTGTGTATTTTTAGATCATTTTACAGGGGTCAAAATTCACCTCCCCCTTTTTTTTAATTTGACAGCAATATATAGGAGCTAGTAAAAATAACCTTGGTGTAGCTATTTAATTAATGACTATTTTACCTTTTTTTACCATACTACACAATTCACAATATTGGGGTTTTTAGCTTTCCATAACCTCCATTTGTGACGCTTATCAGTACAGATATATTACCTTTGAGTGTTGATGTTGGTGCCTTAAATTCCTCTATGTTGTAATATATCGAAGGCGCTGCGGACGACACTGGCAGAGTCTCAGGTATAAACAAAGGGTTCACCTGAAGATTAGCCACCCACAGTTTATTTCACCTGATGATTAAACACCTTGATATTGTAATTCAGGCCTCAGAAGACTGTAGTAATATGTGAATGGACATTTAGAATGACTTCATATAACGAAAAGATAAGAAATAACTTTGAATAATGTATGAAGAAATTACGATTAAAGAAAGTTATTGGTTTTATTCTGTAGTTTGTGTATTTGAGGGTTAATAATGTACTAAAGTAGGTTAAGACTTCACCTGTGTGTTTGTAATTAAGTTATAAATGATTGTACTTGAAACCGTAATGTTTTGTTTTTGTTTTCTAGATAAAAGACCAGAATCCATAATCTATATAAACATGGGATTTAAGTCTTGGGATTTGAGTCATAATGTTTCGTTTATGTGTTTCATGGATGTTTATTTTGGGGTTTTGTTAAAAGTTGTTCAAATTTTGATATTTTTTTACGAGAGTTTTTGTTTTTATTTACATTTATTAACAAAAAATTAAGTCTTGTTGATCCTTCATTTTATAACCACTACTACGATCACTCACCATCACTATCACCATAAACTCACCACTGTTTCACCACTACCATCACTACCACTCATCACCATCGTCACTCACCACAATCCACCACCACCATCATCACTGTTCACCATTACCATCATCACTCACTGTTCACCACCCATTACCACCACCACCACCCACAACCACCAATCACCACTCACAACCACAAATCACCACCATCACTCATCACCTCACCACCCACAACCACCAATCACCACTCCCAATCACCACCATCATCACTCATCACCTCACCACCACTCCTCATCACCACCACACTAACCAATACCCTTCCCCACACACAGGTAAACCAGATCCGGTACACAACTGCTCGGTATATAACTTGTCGGTAGCTGTGGTCAACGTGCGATGTATGGCGGGCTTCGACGGTGGCCTGCCTCAAACCTTTATTCTGGAGCTGTATCATCCACGCACCAGCACCCTGCTAGCTAACACCACCAACTCGGTGAGGGAGAGAGAGAGAGAGAGACGTATGTGCGTATGAGACAGACAGACAAACAGACAGAAGAGAATATGTGTGTGTGTGTGTGTGTGTGTGTGTGTGTGTGTGTGTGTGTGTGTGTGTGTGTGTGTGTGTGTGTGACCGACTACCTCTAAAAGTTTCAAACATCCATTTTATTTAGTTTTATTTCTTTAACTTCAACTTTGTACACGTTTATTCCTACCCAACAAGGAGGAAATGTATGTTAATAACCCCTTGAGTACATTGACCTAAACCCCAGAGTACAAGTTCATAGTACTTATGGGGGGGGGTCTTGAT